GATCCAAGGCAAAGCTTCTTACATGTCTCCTCTAGTTTTCTTTGCAGTAGACCTCAGGAAGAACAAAGCAGGCAATGTGAAATTCAGTTGCCTTTTTCTTTCTTTTAAAACAGAAACCAGCTGCTTCTTATGCTTTCATTTTTTAATTTGCTTTCCTGTAGAAACACTTCTTATATGGGGGGAAGAGATGCTGAGGAGTTGGCAGTTCCCCCAAAGCCCTATTCTAGTTTTCCATTATATTGATTTTTATGTTCTGGAACACAAGGGATGCACACGCTGTACTCCGCAGTCCATCAGAAGTTTTTCTGGCTTAGCTGGAGGGCTTTGTTCAAGCAGAGTGCATGCTTGCTCACACTGTCTTTCTTATTCCCCAAAATAACCCAGCTTTTGCCACAGAGCTGGGCAAGCCACCTTTGCAGCACTCCCTGAGGGGCACTCTCGATTTTCAGAGTAGAGGAGACAAAGTTATGCTAAAGGACTTGGCTTGCATGAGTCCCTTCAGGGCTTTAAATGTCTAGGGATATGGTTAATAGTCAAGGTTAATAAAATATTTGACACAACTGTGCCAGTCTTGCTTAGAAGCTGTTCATTGTAATGGATGTAGGGGGCTCAGAATAATGAACTCTAGTGGGAACGTGAAGGAAGAGATTTAAATTTTTTTCCCCCAGTGGGAATGTTTCAAACTATGCGGTGTTTGAAGTCTGCCTGTCCTTTCCTTACACAACACACGGCAGCTTTAAGCCAACCTCTCCGCATTGCGCGCCATACACGTGTGTTCACTGGGAGAGCTCCCCAAAAGGACATGATGGCCACTTCTCCATCTCACGTTAGCACCGTGGGCCAGGGCAGGGGGGAAGGAAGGGCCCCCAAAACTCACCTTCTCCCCATCCAGCTTTCTTGCTGCATTTTTCCCTTTTCTTGGAGCTCCTGGAGTGCTTTCTACCCCACTGCCTCTTTTGCTGGAATATCTTTTTTTTCTTTTTTTTTCTGAGGAGGTCTGAAAATTGCTGCTTGCTTTCCTTCATCCTCTATCCCCGAAGAGCTTTTCCTCCTTTTGTGAAACCTGTAAAAATTTTGTAGGGAGAGTTAGTAGTCTTAAGTTACTAAAACTTGGTTTTAATTAAACAGCAATCTCTTAAGTTGGTCCCTGTACCAGGTAGTGCTCATACATATAAGGGGTGCACCTGCATTTGCTCTTTTCTCCTGTGGTGTTCATCACCTTTCTCCTCATCTAGCAGCATTAAATTGGTTATTCAATTGAGTGCAGGTTTTGTCCCTTATCTGTATTGGACATAGAAACAAAAATATACTTCTGAGATCAAGAAAGAACAGTTTGCTTCTTTGAAGAATTTTCATTTTCTGGGGAAAATGAGTGAATTATTTTCTTGTTTCCCATATATATTCTGAGACTAAGATGCAATTTTCAACTGCTAGACTTTACTGTTCACTTTGAAAATGTCACCGCAGATCTGTTTAAAATATCTACAACTTTTTGCACTATTTGGTCTTTCTATTTTGCAAAACCTATTCATAATCAGATTTTGGCGAATCTGAAAAGAATTCATCATCTTGTAAGATAGGTATCCCAAAATGGATTCCTGAGCTTTGCTTTTTTTTTTTTTTCATAACTAATCATTATCCTCAACCTAAAAAAAATGCCGTGGTTACAATAGCTAACAACTACCTCTTTTTAAATAAAATTAAATTTAAAAAATAGTTAGATGCAGGGTATTGGAGTTATGGTTTCTTTATGTGCAGAAATTGGACACCAAATGATTTGTCTGGTTGCTACTGTGTTTATTTTTCTACTATCTTAGTAAATACTATGTAATTATTTTAAAATATATATTTTTAAAGTATTTTAATGTTGGAAAAAGTGGTTATTATGATGATTATTAATCTCATAGCATTTCCATCAGTTTGCACTTAAAATAATAAAACATTAGGTTTATGGTAGATGCAATTCTCCAGCTAACCTGAGTGGGATCTGGATCAGGCTCTGCATAAGAATATATTCTTAATTTGTCCCGATGTCTGTTGAGAGTTTCATCTCTAGAGAGTAAAAAGAGCACTACATGCCATGGTATTAGTCCCAGAAATTCCTGATGTAACTAAGAGACAGAGAGGGAAGGGGAAATGTGCATCGGAACCTGCTTCCTGCAGCTGGCAAATTACAGTGAAATCTAAATTATAACTACTCTGTTTTTTCATAGTTGACACTGGCATCCAGTGTTCAAAATTACTTTTTAAACTTCTAATTGCAGAAGTTGCCACTCTCTTATGTAGTATTTTCTCTGCAATTTCTCCTTAACAATAAATTATTTATACCCACCTATTCTTAATCATCTGTTACAGCTTTTGTGGTGGGTCACAAGCAAACCAAAACCAAACCACAACAAAAAAGAGCAGGAGAATGAGCTTGTTTTCCCAGAGCTGGTTTCTGCAAGGCATGAAATTTTGCAACTGTCAAGACAGTGTTTTCCTTGAATGTTTTGCATTTCAATGCATTTAATTTCTAATCTTTACATTTGTCTTTAAGTAGTTCAGCAGCTATGGAACAACTGTTTTCACTCGTTTTTAACATCCACTTGTCTTTACTGTTAGGCACTGCTCAAATGAATTCTTAGCAAGAGGAGTTGTTGTAACTGTTTATTAGGCAACATCATTTGCCTACCATCCTGGAAGATTTTTAAGTATGTGTTCACTGAAATGTAGAGCGTTGCTGAGGAACCTTTTGCATTTTGCTACTTTGCTTCATCTAATGATCTGGTTCTACCATGATGAGTTTGTTTACTTACTTTTGGAGGTGACACTGAAATCTGTGAGAGTTGACCCTTGAGATGAGACTTCACATTACTTAGAGAGCATGAATATTAGTTTAATCTCCCCGTAGACATTCATAGACTTACTGACGGGTGCAGTATGCACAGAAAGTATGTTTTTCTTCATGCTGTGCACATTATTCTGTGGGATTTTTTTTTTTAGTGCATCCTTCTGAAGCTACATAAAGGTACTAAATCTTTAGGCTTTAGCTGTGCTGACTGTAACCAAAATGATCAATTCCAACTTACAGTCCTACATAATATCCAACAAAAACGTTTTCCCTACACACTCATTGGAACGGGTAATTACTGTAGCAACTACAGACTAATTTGAAGTGTTAGCTGTTAATTAAAACACTACGGAGGTGTACGGTTGTCTTTTGGTGTAACCAAAGCTCCTATTCAAACTTCATTAATCACTTTACAGTTATTGTGTTGGGGAAGGTCAGGACAATCGAGAGGCCGGATCAGCCTGGAGTAAACAAATTCCTGTCCTCCCAGGTAGCGTGCCATTTGCAAAGCCACTGGACACGCTGTACCCATGGGCATGGTATCTCCTTTGTGATCCAATTCTCAGCGATAATTAAATGTTAAATTGGTACTGTCAGTGCTCTGTAAACCAAACCAGGTATCTGCCCTCTGCTGGAAATTTAACCCAAACTTCCACGGATGAATTAGCGTGCATCATAATTAAATAATCAAGTCTTCCCTTTTAATTCACTTGGAAACAGGAGATCTCTCTTATGGAAAAAAGATCAGCTTTCTTGACAAGCTAATTAAGTTGCCAAACTGTCCGGCACAGTACATATTAAGCTAACAGACGTTAAGCATGCTATCTCAACCTGTTCATTTTCTTATCATTTCTGCTGATCTTAAGTCCATAATGTTTTGCCACTGTTGATTCATCCATAGTTACAGCAGAGTTCATTTACTCCCTTGGATTCATTGATTATGCATTCAGCTACCAGGCTGTCAGAGCTTCATCTGATGATTTTGCTTTTTGCCTCTTGTGCTGATATTAAATAACACTGATTTTTGGTATGCCTTTTTAAACTGTGTTTGTTCCCAAAAGCTAATGCCACTTGGTTACATAAATGTTTATCCATGAGTTATTAAATTAAGGTGAAGTTTTTAGGAACTTCCGAGCTATTAACAGAAATTACATAAGCACTCAGGGTTATAGATAAGATTAAACAACAGCCTTGTGCTGTACTGTGTATGATTTTGCATGACACACACCCCCCACCCCAACTGTTAAAGCTTTTCTTCTTCAGTAATAATTGCTAGAGGTATATAGTGGTAAAATATCATAATTCTTTAAAGTTAGTGCCACATATATGACAATGCTGTTCATAGTGTCATAAATCAGTATGAGACAATAAAACTAGTGAAGAGGAAAACCTTTAATGGTTTTGTTTTTATGCAAAATTACATCAGATTTTTAGTAGGTATGTTTTTCGCCTACCTTTTTATTTTCTTACAAATTCGGTGAGGAATACACAAGTCATTGTTAAATAGCCAATTATGAATGTTTGTCTTCAGAAATTAAGACTTGAAATACTGTGGAAAATTATTTTGTGTTCATGTGAGCATTAACAGTAATGCTTTCTAACCTTTAAATATCCACATACACGCTGATTTTAAACACAAGTGCACAAAGTTCATTTCGCTAATATTTTTTGTGGGTCCTTAGGTTATCGTAAGAAGAAAAGAATCAGTCATTACCTGGTTTACTTCACTTTCATTGACATAGCTGTGTATGTTACAGTCTTACACTGAAAATACCCATAGGATTGGCAAACTTGCGTGAGAAACCTTGTTTTACATGAAGACTCTGAATAATGGATATATCACAGTTTTATTTCATGGAAAGAAAATGTGAAAGTGGATAAATTCACACTTACAAGTTTGCTGTTGTGCTGTACGAAAGTCTTCAATTTGTAGATTTTGTATAAAACATGCAGATGTAAAAACCGGCTAAATGGTTTCATTGTAAGTATATTCTTTTGATCAATTGTTTTCATCAGTCTTTCTTTAGAAATACTATATAAAATTGGTTTAATGTAAAACGTATTAGCTCCAAGTCATTTTTCTGTGAAATTAGTGTATACATGTTGCACATATGTATAGAGGTAATTTTATGTGATCTCAAGTTATTTAATTTTTTCCCTCATGCAGGGCATATCATGTCCCTAGTGGAAAAATACTAGCAGTAAAGGTAAGATATTACAGTAATTTTCTTTCTCTCTTTCTTTCTCTCCATTCTTTCTTGACCTTGGTTTCCTTCCCCTCTCTCCGATTGTTAGATCTTAATTTGGTTTATCGCATTAAAGTGCACATTGTTTATGCAGAAAAAATCCAGCCCATAAATTTAGTCATTTCAACTGAGCACAGAGTTCCCAGAATCCAGGTTTTGTTCACCGGGAATGGCTTGGCACTGTGTGTCAGTGCTACCAAGTCTTCCCGTGCGGTTCCGTGGACTCATCCAAGTGCAGTTGGGGCTTGTGCCTCCTTGGCGACTGGCAGAGACGCTGCTTCACCGTCCTGAACCCCGCAGGGCGCTGGGGGAGCGGAGATGGGGAGGTCACGGGATGTCAGCCCCTGCCTTTCTCTGCCACTGCCAAACTGTCCCCGAGGGCACACTCTTCAGTGGTCACTACGACCTCTTTTTAAATAAAGAGAATTTCCCTGTTTTCTTTGGGATAATATTCTGTTCTCCTGAGAGATTTTGTGGGTTTAACAGGTTTGTTTATTTAATGTCCGATCCTTCCCCCCCATTGTGGTTTTTTTTTATTTATTTAGCACTTTTTTTTTTCTTGTTAGCATTCTTTGCAGTGAAGCTCTATACATTAGTATCATGCGGTCTGATAAATACCAGTCTCGTCTGAAAGTTCAGTTAAAGCTGTGGTAAATAGTATGTGCCACCTCTTGTATATAATTTGTTAAATTCATAAATTATTAATATAGTTAATCTATACAAAACTATAGAAAAATGTCCTTTTTTAATATATCAAACTTTTTGCTTAAGTTTGGTGATCTTGTTAAAACTCAGAGTGGTAGAGACTTTTGGGAAACAAATGAATTGCATTCATACAATTCCAATTAATAGTTTGAGATCTAAAAAAAAAAAAAGTTATATTTAAAAAATATAATTTATGGAACAATTACTTAGAAAACTGTAAAATGGGCTTTTTTGTCTCAATTATTTTTTTTAATGTCTTTAATCATTAAGGTATATCTGGTATAACTGAGTTAAACTGAAAGAATGCTGGGATGGGAGAGGAGAGCAAGAGAAGGAGTGATGGGAGCTGGTTGCTGCAAGCAGAATTGATTTTAAATGGAATTTAAAGATGTAAGATTACACAAAGGCTTCAAATGAAACATTTATATTGACAAGGCAATATTTACATATATGGGTAACTTTCAGATTTGGGTTGATTGTCTTGTCGTTCCAGTCAGATAAAATATACTGAAAGGAGATTCTGCCTGTGTTTTGGTTTTCCCAAGGATCACGTAAATAAATCCCTTCACCCCACTTTGCTCACCTCCAGAGCAAAGCAGATGCTTACTACTGGATTTGAAGTGATTCTCTACATGTAGAAAATACAGAAATTGAAATAACACCCAAATAGCTTCTAATTATATGGAATACAGATATCACTTGAGAAAGTTCTTGAAAAAGTCACTTTGAAAAAGTCCTTTCAAGTGGTATCCATCACTTCTAAACCTGTCATGAGCAGTTAGTCAGGCAGGGATTCTCTGACTTGTAATAGACAAAAAAGTACAGAAAAATTAATATTCAAAAATATTTTTTATTACAACTTTCCACGTGGAACTAAAAAAGCTCTTCACCTAAATGCTGGGGCTATGTGAGGATGCTGCTTTTCCCTGCTCCCTACTACATTGCTTCCTCAAATAATCTTTTCCAAGCTCTACAGAGAGCATCTCCTGTGCCAGCCTGCCCCATGCTGCTGTGGGTGCCCTCCGAAGCTGCCTGGAGAGGAGGTGAAGCAAGAGGAAAAAAAAAAAAATCACACAGGCAGGAGGGGAAATGAGTTCACCCTTTGCAAGGTTAATTGAAATCACCTCCCTGTAGCAAAAAGCCTTTTTCCACAGCAATTTCACCTCCTTGTTTCCCTTAGAATCCAAGGGTTTGGCTAGTCCTTGTGGATAATTAGCATCCTGAAGATTTGGGGAACTGGATTCTCTTGTAGATACTACCCGTGGTGGTCCTGTCACTCTCAATTATATATATTTTTTCAGCGTGATTTCAGAAGAGATACTACATCAACATGTGTGTTATTATTGTTTAAAATAACACACTCACAAGCTGGAGGTCAGGAAACCTGCGATGATCGTGATCATGCCGGCTTGCTCCATTAAGAAAATTAGCACATCTATGGCTGAGCATACCCAGCAGTAGGGAGGGGATGGTTACGCCAGCGTCTTGGTGTGATCATCATGCGGCTCCACTGTTAAGATAGAGTTTGCCACGCTAATAGGAATGTGGCAGGATGGATCTCTGAAAGTGGAGTTCTGCTTTTTGGGGACTTTTTCTGGTGATAGTGTACAGATTTGGTAGGACAAGATAACATTCTGAAAATCTGTTGATTAAAATGCCTTCAGCTGGTAGATAATCTTGCAAATATATTGAACAGTAATGCAAACCGATGTTAATACCTATGCTATAGACCAAAGCTGTGTCACTACATATTTTATGTAAACTTTACAGCTAGATAACATGCAGAGGATTTAATACTTTTCAAAGGTAACTTTTTTTCTAATTAGAGGGGAAAAATCCAAATGAAAAATTTGCACGTACACTGGCTGATTGCCACTCTTCAACTGCTTTTAGTTTCTCCTGCTCTTAAGCTAGCATTTAAATGGACCATTTGATTAATCATTTGTATACTGACTATAATACTCCCAAATTTCCTTTGAGTTGTACATACTGTAAAAGACAATTATGTCGCCACAGATTAAATAAGTGAATTAAAACAGAATAGCAGCTTAATTTGACCTGTGATTTTGCTCTCGTTCCCTTTAGTGGAACGTATGCCACTCCAGCAAATAGATGAAGTCATCCATGACAGCTTGTGATGAATTGCCGTATTTATACTGTATATTTTAATAGCCTCACACTAATTTAAATTGAGCACAGAGTAAATTATAATTCAGTCACTTGACTGCTTGTATTTAACTTGACAACTCATCCTTATTTGTCCTGGAGGTGTAGTGGAGAGCAGAGGAAATATGCTCAGGTATTCCTCTTTCAAAAATTAACCCTTTTCAGTTCAAATGTTAGGTATGTTGAGTTCCTTTACGTTACAAGTGTGCTAAGCAAATTCAAGATTGCTGTATTTTAGGCAGGAGCTTGATGAGGAAGATGTGCAGGAGTGCTTGGAGCCCCTTGCTGAATCTCAGAGGATTACCATGTCAATTAAATTTAAAAAAAAAAAAAGCTCCCCTTCTCTGGTATCCTTTTCCAGCTCTACCTGTGAGGCACCTTTTCGACTAGTTTTGAAATCAGGGCACTGGAGCTGGGGTCCAGCCCCTTTTTCCCAGCCAGCCCAGGCAACCCACGGCCCGGTCCCTGTGGCTGGGTTAGCCTGTGGCAGGCAGGGTGGCCACTGGAAACCTGCCAAGCCCCTCTCTTCCTCCAACTTTTGTTGTGGCTTCCGAGGCAAACTTGTGAAGAAACTCTGCTTCCACACGTGTTACACAGTACGTGTTATTTTCTGCTGAATGAACTGGGTTTCACTTTCTGCTCTCAGTAATTCTGGTAAAATAACAGTGATTTTTGCTACAAAGTTCTTTCCAAAGGTGCTGGTTTGGAAGAGTTTATTGTCTAATATTACATCTCACTTCCTGACCCATGTTACAATTGTGGAAGTCGCAGCCAAATCCTTACTCACAGCTTCTTGGTAGCAATGGGTTTGAGGAGCTTTTTTGGTTTGGTGTTTTGTTTTGGTTTGGTTTTTGTGGGTTTTTTTTGTTTGTTTTTTTGTGGGTTTTTTTTCTTTAACACCATTCCAGCCCATGCTTAATGCTGTCAGCTCTCCTACTCTTAAAAGTTTTTCCATCCATCCAAACTTATTCCCAAGCCTATTTAGAAAATTTTTATATAGAATGAGTATGACCATGGAGATCACAAATTATGATTAAGGCGGTGCTATATAGATACTTTTTCCTTCTTTCTGTCCCATGTTTCGGTGTTTTAAATAAGGTTCCTCCAGGCTTGATGTCGGATGCCTCTCCTGTGTTGTAAGTCATGCAAGACGCACCTGTTTAGGTGGAAAAAAACATTTCTGTACAATAGTTAAGTGGAAGAAGAAGGAAAAGTGGTCCCTCCTAATTTGTTTCACGGTGATGTACGGTTACCATACTGTTGCAGTACATTTGTGGACATGCCCTGCCCTATAGTATCCTGAACACTTGTAGCTTTGCTTTTCCAGGTTATCCTCACAATTAGAATGCAGGGTCTGTATGTAATTATAGTTAATGCAAATCAGCCAGAGACCTTTCTTCATGCCAGGTCTTGGTTGATTGGATGTCAGCAATGTATTTGATGCTGATCATGCTAACTAGTCATTGTTCAGGTCGGTGAAACCTTCACAGTGAATGAGGTGGGGAAATTTCTCACTGTGAGTAGAACTTAGTGAGATAAAATTTTAATTTTATACTGTTGACAAGATTAAATTCTGTTAATATTCAGTGGGTAAAACTGATGGTATTTCAGCAAATTATTTTAAGTTTTTCACCTGGAAAAATGTAAGTGAATATTGTTGGCAAATGATTATTGATCTAGACAAGTGTGTTAAACGTTTCTTGGCAGCCCTGTATTACACTTACAATTTAGTTTGGTGACAGCTTTTATAAATAACCCTAAAGCAAACTCTTGATAGAAACAGGTTATCGTTTTTTCTTTTAGACAGATTTTGATACTGTAAAATGCGTGTATTTGGAAGTGGTGTCTCTGTATTTTGTTTTGTCAGCAGTATATGCAGCCCATAATATCTATTCTGCTAATTCCGCAAATTGACTTTGTTTTGTCTCCTTTTAGCTTAAGCTATTAAACTGTGAAATATTGTATGGCAACAGACTAAGCCTGGCTAAATGTTTCTGGAGTCCATCTTGATTTATATAGTAGTACTTAATAATTGAGTGTGCAGGTCTTCAAATAATGATGGCAGAGATTGTTTGTTAAAGTTGACTTTCAGTGCTGGCTCTGTTGGAACCAGTATCCTTATTAAGAGGGTCTGTCTTGAAAATCCTGGAAACTTACAACTCCAGACAGTGCACCCCACTTTCACTGCAGCACTTGGTACTTTAGTCCTGGTTAGCAGCCTGGCTCAAAAGGATGAAAATCCAGGGCATGGATGAAGGAAGCAGCAGATAAGCGTGACGGTGAGCGGCCGCTTTCAGCTGTTGAGCACTCAAAGTCAGGTCGTTTGTAGTTGTTTTGAAGAATGCTTTGGTGATGCTTACCTAAGCATCTGTACCATCTGCTGTCATTTGCATCTTCTTCCTGTATATTTAACAGTTTTCCATGTTTTGTACGATGTTAGGAATTTATATAAAAAAGGGGGTAAATATTAAAGAAACTAAGACTGTAAGAGTGGTGGTAAGAGACCCTCCTTTAGGGCACCACCGAGACATTCAGAGATACTTTCAGTACTGCAGCACTTATTTAGCCCTTAGAGTTAACGGTGGCACATTTGGCGAGGCATGCCGGGGTCGCAGCCTTCCAGGCTTTTTCACAAGACATCTATGTAGTGAGAGGAATCGGTGCTGGGCAGGGAGGAGGAGGCTGTACGGAGCAGGGGCTGGGAGGTGATCGCACTTTGGGTGAATAAGCAACAACTCTGAGTTCACCAACCCGCAGATCTACCATGCCCGTTCTTTACGTTACCTGTGGGTTGCGTTCAAGTTCTAACTTGTCTCTTGGTCAAATGGTTAAACCACAAACCTTAACGATATTTCATGGATAAAATTGGCTGTATAACTTAGCTTACTTGTAACTGAATTTTAAAAGTAAATAAACCTGTCCTTTCTTTTCCATTTCCTTCCTTTGCTCATCATTCTCTTAAAATATTCTTTACACCTATTCCTCTCTTTCCTTTTCTCACGTAAGAATAACTAATACATGGATCTTCAGTTTTTAATTTTGAATCATTCACTTTTTATGTTAATTCTGATCATATGTCCATTTTTTGTATTTTAGGTCATACCCTTAGATATAACACTGGAACTCCAGAAACAGATAATGTCGGAGTTAGAAATTCTTTATAAGGTATATAGATATTCTCATTTTCATTATTCTTGCATATAATCTTCTTGGAGCAAGTTTTAAAACAGGCTTCTTTTTTTTCCTTTCTTTTTCCAGTGTGACTCATCATATATCATAGGATTTTATGGTGCTTTTTTTGTAGAAAACAGAATTTCATTGTGTACAGAGTTCATGGATGGTGAGTTGTGTATCTAGTGTGCTTTTGATTGCTAAGTATGTAAAGGGAAAAATCATATAAAGATGTGCTTTTCCAGAATAGAGCAAAATGCAATAGTATGACTTGGAAATGTAAAGTATTAATAACTTTGCAGGTCGTTTATTAAAAAAACAGGTTAGTATTGGGATTGTGTTATATTCTCTGTGGTATGCTGTATTTTCCCAAGTGTAACTTCACTTACTTTTATTGAAAATGTAAATAGAACAGAAATAAATGCTAGCTTAATTTGTGGTTTGATATTTGAGTCTTCCATACAATCTGTCCTCGCTGACAAAACAGCTGTTCCTCACTTTTACTGTTTTGATAGCCAAAACAGATTTTCTTTTAAAGAAATCTATTAACCCAATGTCCTATGTGTTTTCAGTGGAAATCGTCTCTTAATTGCAAGACAAGGAATTATTTTCTAACGCAGCTGTTTAACAGTGCTGTGCTGAGTTTCTTTTTGAGTGTACTCTTGTTTCTCCCAATGTGAATCTTCAGACCAACTGCATCCCCTTCCCCACAAGCTGATGCTACTGTCATTATGGAGATGTATTAGTACTTTGCTTTGAAAACTTGTGCTGTGTGGCATTCTTGGAGAAATGGCAGGAAAATATACTGATTACAGCAATTTATAATCATTGCTGCCCTCTGTGTATCAATTCTGAGAGCGTGTCTCATGACAGATGCAGTCCCCTTGTGTCTTGTGTGCATGAACCCTCTTTGCAGCGTTCAGCTTTAACATCATGTTGTTGTTCCAAGCAGTAGTCTATTACTCTCTCCAGGATTTTCTTATGAGCAGAATTTTATGCCCTCTCCAGGTTTTTCACAAAGGTTCAGTTAAGCTGGATATAAAGAAGTAAGGATCTTGCAAACAATTTACTGTGGAAGGAAGGCTTTCTGGCAGGAAAAATTTCCAAAGCCAAATGTGTACCATTAAGCACTGTTGAGTAGCTTCTTTCTTTCTGATAGGGACCACAGATAAAGCCCTTTAGGGTTTTATGGTGAATTTTGTTTGCTCCCTGTTAAAATGGTCTGTTATTACTGTTATTTTTCTCTTTTTACACTTAGTACCTCTGTCCCTGTGATCACTGTGCCCGTTTCCAAGTACGAGTGTTCTCTCCAATTTTCCGTATTTGACGCAAAAGCACTGCATTTATTCAGCAAAGCCCACAAGTTAAATTCTTGGCTGTTCTCGTGCTGTGTGTCTATTAGCCATTTCTCTGTTCTGTCCTTGCAGTTGCACTCAGACTTGCAAGCCTGTGTTAAGCAGTAGTCACATGCACTAAGGAAGCATCTGCTCATGCCAAAACATGCATCTGCCTAGAGTATGTGTGCTCCTTCTAATTCAGAGATTTTTAAAAATGACGGACATAAATGCTTGCAGTTCTGAATTCTGGTTTGAAAATATTTAAGCCTTTAGGGTATGCATCCCTCATGATGTGACACAACGATGGTGTTTACTGACCATGCACAAATTACTTGGAATTATACTGGAGATGACCTCTGGTCTGCCTCATGTTGTGCACTCCTTCTGGCAGAAAGCAACAGCAATCATTTAAAGGAAGAACAAAATGCAAATAAAGGGACCTTGCCATTTTTTCCCACACCTTTAATTTTGATGCATAAGAACGCATGTGAAGATAAGAAAAAATACTCTCTCATCCTGCCAGTGAACAGCTTTAACCTTGACAAATTTTTAGCCCTTTTGACTGTCTTAGACCAGTTTATAATATTTCCTGAATCTATATCCCATGACTCTTTGCCCAGTTGTATTCTGTACTGCATTACAAAACATAGGTATTTCCTTTATGAATTACCTAGATATGGGTGGATATGTATCTTTTGGGTTACTCATGACATAGGGTTACCCATAGGGAAGAGGTGCACATGTAGTACTGTATTGGTTCTCTCCTGCCACCTGCAAGCAGGAGAAAGCCAAGAAACTCCCAAGTCTACAAATGTCAAAACGCTGAGCTTGAACTGACCTTGATCACCCTCCCATCTGCCAGTTGATCTTAAAGATCAACAGAGATGTGAAATGAGACTTTCTAATCTTTGCCCTTTTATATTTATAATAAAGATGGTGTTCTTGTAAATAAAGATGGTGCAGTGTACTATTGCCTTTTACTTACGTTGCAGCCTCATTTCCTTTTAAACTGCTGAACATGTGCTAAATTGCCCTTAAAAGCACTGAGAGGTGCAGGTTATCAGACTGTACCTAGATGTCTACACATAGATATTGGAGCTAACAGAATTTTTTCTCCATAGAAAAATGGTGAATTTCCCCAATTGTTTGCAGAAAGATACTTTCTTCATTTTTCAAACAGCACTACCTTTAGTGACATCTGTAATAGCAAGACTTAGCAGTTTGGTGTATGAAAATATGTCTTTTTTGAATCCAAAATTTAAGAAAAAGTGATAAGCATTAACAGGAACCACCTGCTGTATGATTGCCTTAGGTTTGGCTTTTGTAATGAGCAGTAGGTATCTGTGATGCTACATCCTCTTATTTCTATTAAATAATACTTACATTTACTTTTAAAACTGAGGTTCATCATAATCCACAGGCAATGTGGACAATATAGGTTGAAAGATTAAACTTAATGAATGAAGAGTAGTATCAATGACCTGGAATCAGACCAACATTTATGAAGACAAACACATACTGTCGCAGAGGCAACAAGGAAAATGAGGGGGAAAAAGCCAACAACCACCACCACAAAACCCAAATCATTAGAATAAGTAGTATAGTATAGTATAAATAAGATCTGTTGTATAATTAAGACTAAAGACTGGAATTAGGGCCTTGTGACTTCTTTGGATTGCAGCATTTCAGAATGAATGGCTTTTACTTTTAAAAACTGAACCATAAGCAAAGTACAAGGCATAGTTTTCTTATTTGCTGAGTATTGGCCTAACTATTTTCCCAGTGGTGTCATGAGTAAAATCCGTATGGTACACTGAGAGTAGAGTTAGATCAGTGCTGAGCACTTCTGAGAACCTCAAGCCTTGAATAAGACAACGTGTTCTTGTAAGCGAAGTGTAATATGCTCTGCCTGTAATTTGCTTGTCCTTTTTTTTCGTTTTTTTTTTTTCCCATTCTACTTGGATATTTTAATTTTCAATTTTCAATTTACTTTCTTGCCCAAGAATTTGTATTTCACCCCAGGGACATTTTGAACGTTGGATTGATCATAAATCTCCTTTGTGGAAGATAAAGGAAACAGTCCTTCCCAGTCCCTTGGGGGTTAGGGTGATTTTGATTTCTTGCTTTCCCCATGAATGTATGATGCTGGCTGGACAGAGTTATGCCAGACAGTAAGTTTTATCCATACTGGAGTTTACTGACAAAATACATCTGCTTGCCCAGGAGCTCCTTTTCTTTCATTTTCAGACATCAGTGTGGACACAGACTGCAGTGCTCAACCAAACTTTCCCTGGTTTGATCTTCAGGAGGAAACAGCTTTAAGCATTTATCCCAGCACCGTATCAGATACTGTGAAACGTTAGCACCAGGTTTGGGGACAAGTGGTAGGATGCTTTAGGCTTTAAAGTCAACTGGTGCTTTTTAGGATGACTTTCTTACTCCTGAGAAGTTACACCAAGCCTGATGGTTTTGAGTTCTCCAGTATTAATATTCTGTCCTGTGACTGGAAGGCTTTCTAAAAGGAGTTTTAGTATTAATGCTGCAAGCAAAAATAAGTAACATGGGTGAAGAGAGACCTGAGTACTGCTTCATGTGTTTATTCAGAGTTTGGTAGATTTTTAGGGTCAGTTATTTCTGACACAGTTATTGTTATATCATTGATGGTGTTTTTATTAATAACCAAGGCCTAGAAAACCCTTGTGACTTCAAATCTGGGGCAGTATTTCATTTTGTGTTACCTGAGCACGTTTTGTTTGTCCCTGCAGGGGGTTCTTTGGATGTTTATAGAAAAATTCCAGAACATGTACTTGGAAGAATAGCAGTAGCTGTAAGTACTTTTTTCTTTTTGTCTTTCAATTTTTGGCTGTGCTTGTAACACATCTCTGATTTGAGTGCACACATGGCCCTTTGGGACACTGAGTCATCTCGAGGATCCGTGTCCTCATTATGTCTGTGTATCCCCTATCTGGTGCTCTTCCTAACCATCCTGTGTGCCCAAGGACACTGGGGTTAAGGAAACCTTCCTTTTGAATGACCAGCACCTGAGTTGCTGGAGGCTCAAGAAATGTAAAAGGATGTAATAAGTTGAATCGGATAAGGAAAAAAAAAAAGATTAATTTGCTGGAGAACTGTGTGGTTTCTTTATCAACCCGTGTTGGATGGAGCAGTCCTGTTAATCACCTTTATTTAGCCTTTAAGTCCTTCCGTGCTATGTGATTCCTTTAAAAAGTGATTCAGAAGCCCTGTCCTAATCCTTATGGTGATCCCTCATCTGCTGCTTCTGCTGATTCTCCTGTGTAATTTCCATTCTAACTATCCTCATTCTGTACCAAGTAACTCAACTAGATTTGCTTCCAAGGTTGAAAAATTGTCAGTTCCTGTTATCAAAATGCACTGGCAGAACACATTTTCTGTCTTCCCCTGTGGCAGATGTACTCCTTAAGGCAGATGAGGAGGAGGCTGAAGTTTTTATTTGGCCCAAGCAAGGCCTGACAAAGGCTGCCTAGGGACGGGCTGCTCACTCACTCCTGTGCCAGGACCCTTCGCATGTGAGCAGTCACGGTTGAAAAGCTAATAGTCATTTTAGGGGTGATGAGCAGGGAGACGCTCTGTGATCTGGGAAGAACTATCGGTCCCCAGTGTCTGCTCAGTTTGGTGGCAAGGTGTTGACAGTGGGATCCTTAGAGCACCTGGTAGCCCATCATTGTGTCTCTGCAGCATTCAGTGACTGTGTTGCTAGAAATTCACTAGCCATGATTGAAAACTCAAATTACAGAACAAAAAAAAAGGGGGGGGAAGAAAAATAAAATCCCTTATTTTGCCACAGCTGAACAGCGTAAATGACCAACGTCTTAGTGGATCTCACAAGGGAGAGAGATACTGCTAAACAATTGCTAAATATAAGGAATACTTTGATAACTTAAGCAGTTTAAAGCATAACAAAGTTATTCTATCATGTGCCATTTAATTAAGTGCTGGGTTTTCACATTCATTATACATCAAGCTGACAATTTAAATCCTTTAATCCAACACAGGCAGCTATTTAGTCTCTGTTCATTGTAATTCACAGCTCTACTTTCTCTTAATTTGTGTGGCCTGCCCAGGGTGATGAACATGCTTCTCTGATGCTGTTTCCTCTAAGTAGCTTCAAATCTGCTCATTATATAGCCTAGCAGTTTCTTATGGAATTTGAATGCTTTTCACCTTTAGTTCAGAGTAAAAACGTTTCATCTCTTCTTCCCTATGGAGCAATGAATGATAAGTTGCTCACAGTGTCCTCATATTCCTGACGCTAAGCAGCATGTGTATAGTGTAATGATACTGAGATGGGCCTTCGTGTATTTCTTCAGATGCTTATTCCTTCTCCTTTTCCTTATCCCACTTCATGTTGTGTACTTAATGCATCCACACTAACTTATCATTTCTTTACTTGCTTTTGTCTCTCCTCTCCCCCATCCTCTTCAGCCCACCTGGCTTGGTATTCTGCAGATCTTCTCTTCCAATTTTTCACTTATCCATAACGGTGGTGCTTCAGCCCCATCTTTTATGTCTTGATATATATATTTTTTGTTCACCTGCAGGGTCATCTCTTTACAAATCTGTTAGTTAGTGAGCATGACTCCCTGACACGGACGGTGAGCTGATACTTAACTTTTTCTAGTTATTTTATTTGCTGCTTTAGCAACCTGTACTGTGCCCACTGCAGTTCAGGGGGTCAGTAAAGAGGTGAACAAAGGAGTGGGTGCCTTCAGAGAAGGAGCTCGCCCCTTTCTCCTGCTTCTCTGTAACAGAAGGTGTGCGCTGAGGCTGAACCAGCACTGGCAGCTTCCTCTGCTCTGGTGCTGATTTTTTGCTCAGTTGGCATGGTAGACTTATTGGAAGGAGGCCGTGAAAGCCTTTGTTTTCTCTAGAATTTATCAGTGGCAGCAGGAATGGCTCCTTTAAGTCTTCACAAATGGCTACGCTGCATCTTGGTGTCTGACATTTCAGTAGAGCCCAGCAGCCCATTTTGTGGGTTGGGGCACCTTTTTGCCAAGTGCTGTACATAGGCACCGTAATCCCCACTGTGAACAGCTTGGGAAGACTACCCAAAGCCTGGAGGATTTCTGTTCATGTACTGATGAGGAGGAGAATGTCAAACAAAACCTGGAGCTTGCATGGATGGATTTTGTAGACAAAATCTGGAGCTTCTATAGTCTCTTTTTTTTCCAGTCTGTGTTTTCTTTCTACCCTCCTTGCACCATGTACACAGAGTCATTTGTCTTTCATTCTCCTGAGACATGTACAATGCATTAGTCTATTGAAGCTGCTTAATAATATGTGTGACCTGCACATCTGTTAATTAGAATACCCTTTGTTACATTTGTAGAAGTTTTTAAGTGAAACTGTTTCCAGAGGAAAATGATGCAGGCACATATAGATATTTAGCAGCATCCCAGCATTCTTCTCGCTCTGACTTGATCATTTCTTGCTATACAAATTTAATCATTGTGAAAAGCTGTGGCCTGACAACCCTTAAAAACATTTGTCCTGCTCACAGCAACAAGCACAAAAGGTGCAGGAGATTCCAGCTGGTCCAGAACAAGATCTGTGTCTGCTCCACACGACATGGCAAAGGGAGCACGTTGACCTTGCGCTCCGCTTGCTCAGTTAAACACAGAATAGTATTCAAGGTCATTTCCTTGCACTCTTTGATCTCCACAGGTGGGACTGAACTACCTGAGGGACATCCCTTTCTTGACAGTCCTGACTTTCTGGAGCCAAAAGGATAGGACTGTGTTGTTACTCATTTCCTTGAAATACCACTGTAAATCCTTACAGGCACCTGCGATGCACTACATGATGGGCAGGAATGGTACTTGCTTTCTTGTATACTCCCTTCCCAGTCAGACTTTCTAATGATTTGGCAGGAACCAGAGGAGAGTTTTGTCTGCTGAGACAATCAAACATTTTCTGATGATAGCAACTGCTACCGTATTCTTTCTGATGTGAACCCTTACCTGCTGAGAAGTAGACTGTATATCAGAGCCATGTAGCATGTATGTAGTCTATATACCGTAGCTTTCTTTTGCATTCTTGTTATCCATTTCCCAGTGAAGAAGCAATCGCCATTTAATTGTGATGGACAATCAGCTTTCAAGCTGAAATAGCAGGAGTGTACTGCCAAGTGTGATACTCCTGTCTCTTGGTTATTTTTTTGAGGAGTAAAGGATGGAGGTGAAGTTTGAGCTGAAAGACAGAATGCTGAAAATCAAGACAGTGAATCTTTAAAGGAGGAAAGCATTTGCCAGGGCTTGGGGAGAAGCACTGCCTTTCCAGGGGCAGTAAAAAGTGGTAAGAGAGAGCTAGAGTCTGCTGAGGCTTGGGTCCCCAAGAAGCTGGAGGGATCTCTGACTTCATCATAAAATTCATCCTGGTTGCCTATATGAGACAGTGTCAGTGAGAAGAAAGAATATCTGATCTTCCTTGTGTTCTTTGTGTGAAGGACTGGTGTGTTTTTCCAAAGAAAAAGTATATCTTGAAAACCCCAAAGTGATGCTGTGGTCACTCCTGTTTTCATACTGATGTGTACTTACTTGGTTCTGCCTGTATAAAATCTGTTCTACCTTTGCTTGCCACTTCACACATTTATTTTCACTTCAATTTCTGAAGCAGTGACATTGTGCACTGTATTTTGAGTGCTAATGTTGATTGAAGTTCTCTCTGAAAGGATGTGCACTTGAACTGTCAAGAGAGTGAGTGATTGACAGCAGGTAGAAGTACTTTTTGTGTCAAGGCTTTTTCAAGTCATTGTTGTAAAACCTACTTTACTGCATACCAATAATTCCTGCTAGATGTTCAATCAGAAGATACTCTCTTCCAGCACCGTTTTAGAATATTTAATACTTAAAGAGTCCTTTCCAAATAGGCCAATGTAAGTTAAGTGAGTAACGGTACTTTACACTACATTAGTCCATTGTGGGGGGTTCCCTGCGTATATTTGCAGCCCAGGATAAAGGGAAAAACTCTTTGCATTCCTTTACACACTGAGAGAATCTGAACGTGAGAGTTTGTTTAATACCTTGTCTTTTATAACTGCTTATTCAGCACATGCTCCATAATAAAGACGTTTAATAACTCACAGCTGTTGATGTTTTTTTCTGTAGTAAATATTTCCTTTTTTCTATGAATACATGCTTTAAAACAGATTAAATAATTTTATAATGGTTTTAAATATTTTAAATAGTCTAAATGTTTACTAATCCAAGCATTTTACTATTCTCAAAATCACTTTCACTGTTAGCGTAAGCCTGGAATGTTGCACCTTCTTTATTTATTTTTGCATCAATACTTTTTTTTCCCCTCCTTATGTCAAAATGCTGTGTAAGTAGAATTTCCCTGGTCTGCTTTTTGAAAGGCTAACATGAACAAGGCCACACTACTGGGCATGCAGAGTTTGACTAAGGCCTTTTGTTACAGGTAATTACCATCTGAGGCCATGAGATAGTTGGGTATGGAGTGCGAGTTCAACACGAATTGCCACATAGAGCAATTTACTGAGGATCTGGGATCATTATTTGCTTTACAAAAGAGATTCGGATTCCACTGACATTGTTTTTGGTTACAGAATAAATTTTAAAAAGAGTTTCTAATCCAATAGGAAGGCTGATAATTACTATGCTATCTGCTTTCATACTGTATAATATTTTTAGCACTTCTGCTTGATCACTGTAACAGAAGTAATTTCATTTCAGTCTGCTCAGACAATGAAAAGAATGTAATTGTTTTGTCTGAAAAATTCATACAACTTTACAAATGTCGGAAATGCTTTATTGTTCTGGAGACGCACAAAGAGAGTGTCTCAGGAAAATGAATGAAATGTCATCTTGTAGATGGAAACTTTATAAAAGATTTGCTCTATTAAAAAAGCTGGCTGAGACAGCAGGGATGGTTTGGGTAAAAAGTAAGCAGTAGTAGAAGTACGTTTGTTGAATCTTGTTAGTTCTCTGGGCTTGTAAAAGTAGTAAATCTAGAGGAAAAATAACAATATTAAAAATGCAAGAAGTATTGAGGTTTAATTACTTCACAGAAACAACACCTGCAGAGAAGGATAGCTTGTAACACCCAACTGTTCTCTTAGGGAGGTGGCTGAACGGCTTGTTTAATTTCGGGCTATTATAATTATGTTGTATTTTGAAAATAAATAGGTTGGCAGTTGGATCCAGTGATGATCTTGTACATACGGCTCTTTCAGAACCAACATGTTCTGTGTAAGAAGTGTCATGGGTTGTTGTTTTGGGAAATACACCTGCATTCATACTACAAATGAATGTCCTACAAATTTTTATTAAAACATAACTCATAAAGGCGGCACTCCAGTGTAGTACTGAAGTTACCAGGTTTTTGAGTTTGGTCTTAACAGTTTAGGTAGTGGCAGGAGCAAATTCTGGAATAGCAGGCCAAAGTCTGCCCCAGTTCTTATCTTTTATGGTTTCCAATTGTATTTTCTGGGACTATAGGATACAGTAAGATTTGTGTTTGGTCCAGGATGACTAATATGAAGAATGAGACAGTTTATACAGTTCAAGAAGAAATGTTCAGTGTTTGCATTAAGTAAAAGCATGGGAACTAAAGGAGGAAAAAGTACAGATACACCAAAGCAAAAGAAAGGGAAAGAGAGGATGAAGTGGAAGAGGCTAGTAGAGATTTTACTTTTTGGCCTTTAATTTCACTGGGCTGTGTTTGTTACAAGAAGACAAATCATTACACACTTTCTTTCATGATTTTTAACACCACAGCAAAGGTGGATGAATTAAAAATATGCTGAAATGCCTAAAGAGATTGAGTATAAGCTGAACTAACTTCAATTTAGAGACCCTAGGAAGAAGCTTATTTGTGTATTCTTAAAGAACCTGTTGCTGTGGAGTCCACAGCAGGTATGCAGCAGTCTGGGTCCTTCAGTCCCTTGGAAAGGATACTTGGTCTCCCCTTTTTGTGGTCCTTTTTGTGGTCCTGGCTCTGTTCTCCGTTGGAGCTTGTGCCTTGAACAACTCTGAGATGTGTAGTGTTTCTTACCAGGAATCTTTAATATGTGATGTTGCTTTTTCTTTTAAATTCAGGTTGTGAAAGGCCTTACCTATTTATGGAGTCTAAAGATTTTACACAGAGGTGAGTAACAGATGTTTTCTGTTTTTCAATGAAATACCATATTATTTTATTTTAACAGCACTTTCTTCGGAGACAGTAGACCATACTAACATCTGGTTTGATTCCAGTTGGAGTAATGCAGAATGAATCTTACTCATTAGCCTTGCAGATTTTCTGATAAAATATTTTAAATGCTGATCTCTTTTATTACCTTCCCTCCTACCCTACAAAGGAAAATGCTGAAGAGAGAAATGAATTTTGTAGAGATTTAGATGCTTGAGGTTACAAACAGGTGCCCAGTGGAAAAATCAGCAAGGAAAATCAGATGTTTGACTAGTATTGAAAATAGAAGATAGATAATGAATTTTCTTACATACTTCAGAAATCTCACGTGACAGACACAAACACTGCTAGTCTCAGATCTCTAAAATTGTGGCCCATTGTCCTCTAATATGGTCATGAATTTAAACCTGCTTTGGACATAAGCAGGTTTTAAACTTTAAACCTGCTTGGACATAAGCCATTTTGGGGTTTTGCTGTTTATTCTCCTTCCTGAAACTAATCTGTATTTTTTTACACTTCTCATTTATTTCTTGTTTTTTAATGTTGTTACATTTTGTTAAAAATTTATCTATTGTGGTAAGTTAATTCAGATATACTAGAACTTTCAGAAACAATGTCAGTTCTGGAAACAGAAAATGCAATTTAAAGAACAAAGAAGTCTTTCCCCCTACACCACCCCCACCACCCC